GGAATTAAATGCTATTGAAGAGGGACCGGAGGGATTACCACGATATTCTAACCAGTTTGATGGTCAATATGCAAATATTAGACCTGAAATTTCAGCTAAGAAATTCTTTAAAGTTGCTTTATTTGATCCAGTTTTCGCAAATGTTAAAGATGAACTTAAACAACAATTCCAACCAATTATAGTAGCAAGAATTGCATCAGGTGCTTTATCTCAAGCATTCAAAGATTTAATTAAGAAACCATTATATCAGCAACGAGGTTTAACTTATGATTTAGTTAAGGAATCAGATAAAAGAAAATTTGAGAAATCAGTTGATTATAAGAATGCAATTAATGAATATATTCGGTCTATTAATTTCGATGAAACAGCTAAAAATCAACTTCATGAACAAATACAGGGAATAATAGATTCAAAAGTTCCAGTAAAATAAAAGTTTAAATATATTTTTTTTATTCGATTATAAATGAGAAGACGTTTTACTAGTCAAAAGAACACTAACGCAAAAGCAGAGATTACGGTTGGTTATAACGTAAATGATGATAAATCACGAATTATTCAAAATGTTAAAGTTAATGTTAGCCCTGAATTAACAAGGTCAGCAACTCAACCAAATTTATTAACTCATGACTTACCGAAGAATGAGGAGAATGAAGACCCAATCATTTTATCTGAACCTGGTAAAGAACCCGTTGAAATTCCCACTTATCCAACATACCCAGCACCTCTTTCATCAAACATCGAGAACCCATATAAAATAGACATTAATTTTGAATTAATGAAAATTTACCGTGATATAATAATTAATAATTATGATTCAATAATAAATTTAATTGACCAATCCGGTTTAATTATTTTACCTTATGAATCATTAATTCACATTATCGCCATTCTTTGTGATGTTCAAGATTCAGACGTTAAGATTCAATTTTTCATAGATGATGAGGTTTCATGCTGTGGAATAGTTGCAAAAATAAATCCTATAAAGGATATTAGCACAATTAAGATATCAAAGAACGGAACAACAACAGAACTTCATTTAACATATAATGATATTTATAATAAAATAGTTGATGAATATAAAATATCACTTGAAAAATTCTTTGTTAAGGCTATTTAATATTCAAGCATTAACATTAACGAATAATAATCCTTTGAATCATAATCAATAATAATTGACCTTTCACCAGTTTCTATCGTTTGTTTTATTTCTTTTTGTTCCCCACTATCCGGATCAGTCATTGTAATTGTTTTTGTTATAGTATCAGCTTTATCTTTAACTTCAATCTTTTTTCCATCAGGATATTTAAACCAAAATTCCAAAAATTCGATATTGTCAATCTGTTCATATTTTAATCTATCAATTGCATTTTTAATACCATCTGAAAATCTTATGAAATGGTCATTATATGGGTTTGATTGAACTAAATTTGAATGAAGTGAAATATAACCCGATGATGAATATGACATCGACTCATATTTTCTGAAAACACTAAAATTTATAACATGAATGAATTTTTTATTCGTTGAATTTATGAATTCTTGAGGTAATCTTATTTTAGTTTTATTTATCACTGGAAAATAACGCTTTACCATATTTTTAATCGTAATAAAAAATGTCAATTATCAATATTATTTCGAATAATAGTTGTGAATTAAATTTAACAGTTAGCGGAATTTATAATGTTACTCTCGTTTCTGTGAGTGGTTTAATCCCATTCTTTTAGACCCTTCAGATTATATATCATTTATTAAAGATGACCATGAAAAAACGTATGATATGTATATAAATAATGTGATCACGAAATGGGATATTAACATGATTTTAAGTTATTTAAATGAATCATTTATCGTATGGTATGAAGAAAATTTTAAATCAAAACCTGAAAAACTTTTTGAACTTGATGAAATAAATAACCTTATTAAATTCCCGCTGAAAATTAAATTTTGTACTCCTCATTTTCGTTCATTGTTGGGGATATTAAATTTTGAAAAAGATGTTGGGGATGTTTTGTATTCTGACACTGGTTCCAATTTCATTTTAATCAAATGTGATAAAGTTAATACCCCAATGAGATTTTCACATCAAACATTAGACCCTAACTCTTACCCATCAATACAAAACATTTTATCCATCAACTTAAACACATTTTCTTTATCATATCCGTTTCAATTATCCGGGAATTCATTTATTCTTCATTCAAAAGATTTATCAAATATTAAATTTAGAATAACTGACCTATTTGATTGTGATTTAGAATTTATGAATGAAATATTATGGCAATTTCAAATAGAAAAAATAGCTGATGAGATAACGGATTAAATATTTATTTTTAAATCATAATAAATGATTAAACAACAGCAACCACAGCAACTTAAGGCGCAAACCATTACATACGCCATATATGCATATAATTCAAAGACGGCAGAACAAACACAAAAGTTGAAATATGGAGATTTGGAGATAGTATTGAAAAATGACCATTTCGAATTCGTTTGCAAAGGTGGTGCAGTGATATCAAATATAAAAGAAATTTTATTTATGAATTCAAAAATTAAAGGTATAACGGATGATATAACATCAATTCCACCAGAAGAACAAAGATATTACGCATTAAATGCATTTCCCAAAGTTTTGAAGATTGGAAGATTTAATTTAAATGAGGAATTCATAAAAGGTTTCCTAAATGACATAATGAAGAAAGCAGATAAGGAATATGTGGCTAGTGAGTTAGAGAAGAAAGCAAATTTGGTTTATGTTGATGAAAAAGATAATGAAATTAAAGAAAGGGTTGAATGGTATCATGAATGGACATCGAAGATTTTTAAAACTAAAGCTGATACAGGTTGGGTTTCAGGATGTTTAGACCTTAAAGCGGATAAAACTTATGTTAATGATGAGTTAGAGAAGAAAGCAAATTTGGTTTATGTTGATGAAATATACCAAAGTTTGATAGGAACAACAAAAAATATTGAAACTATTGCTGGTGACTTTTCTGTCAATGAAGAAAATAAATATTTTAGATGGCAGTTTGTACAGTCCTTAAAAAATGGTACACGGTGTAAACTCATTCCGAAAAATAACAATGAAATGTATGTAAGTTATAAAAAGAATGATGGCACACAAGTTAAAGTTCCATTAGACAACAACTGTTACTTAAACTTATATGGAGACGAACAAAAGAAATATTTAAGAGTTTATGAAATGACAGATATGACATTGTCTAACCTAGCTCCAGCACCATATTATTATGACTATGGAGATGATGTCAGAACACCACATGTAGATGAACAAAAGTTAACATTATATTTAGATTATTATAGATATAAAAGATATAATGCAATAGAAAAAACAAGAATAGTATATTATTATACAGATGACAGAAATAAATATTATAGTCAAAATTTTACCTACCCTGAAAACATAAGATTATATTATAAAAAATATTCTAACACAAACCAAAAGAAACCTGAAATAGTTGCACTATATTTTAAGTTCAAAAGAGACAATCCTATAATATCTCATATGTTTGATTTAATGAACCCAGTAGGTTCTATTTATACATCTACGGATGCAAGAGGTCCTCAAGCAATGTTTGGTGTTGGTGCATGGGACAAATAGTCGACAGGTTTTTGTATTGTGCAAACTCATCAAAGGAAACAGGGGGAAGTAAAACGATTACAGGTGAAAATTTACCTGCACACAGTCACTACATAGATTTAAGCACATCTCAAGCGGGTTGGCATAAGCATAGATATTGGGATTGGTCAGGAATGACAAAAGGTAAAGGATATGATGTTAAAGATGACGTTAAGTTTGCTATAAATTGTTACTGGAGTGACACTCAGGGAGAAGGAAACCATACACATTTCGTTTCAGGATATACACAAACAACAGGACAAAGTAAAGAATACATGCCACCATTTATGACAGTTTACGCATGGTATAGAGTTCAATGAACGCTCAATGTTTGTTTCACAAACTTTAGGAGCTCCAAAAGAGTGAACGGTATAATTTAAATTTTTATTTTAGTATAAATGAAGATTCTACCATATGGTGTTATTGGAAGAGATAAAGATGGAAACCCAATATTTGATCCAAAGTTAAAATTCAAGTTACTGACAAGACAACAACTTGAAAAGTTGTTGAAACCAAAACAGGATGAGAAAATGAGAAAGAAAAAAATTTAAATTATGTAATTTTATTTTTATCATAAATGACAAAATTAATTAAGCCAACTATTTCTAAATTAATGTTACCAATGAAATCATTTCGTGGAGTACTTATCCCAGGTTCTTCACAATTAGCTGGGGTAGGTGTTGTGACTCAAGGTGGAACGTTAGCGAATCCATTCAAATTATTAACTAAAGATGAAGTTAATAAAATGATGATAAAATAACTGATAACAAAATTTGATTTCAGGTTATTCAATAATTAATTATTTTTGAAGAACTGAAGGTGTCACTATGTCACTATATGTTATCGTTAATGGTTTCGTTAATGATTTCAGGTTATTCAATAATTAATTATTTTTGAAGAACTGAAGGTGTCACTATGTCACTATGTGTCACTCGGTTATTTAACTTCTCTGAAAAAATGAGACAACATGACATTTTGACAACATCACTGGAAATATATGTTATCGTTAATGATTTCGTTAATGGTTTCGTTAATGATTTCGTTAATGGTTTCGTTAATGATTTCGTTAATGGTTTCGTTAATGATTTCAGGTTATTCAATAATTAATTATTTTTAAAGAACTGAAGGTGTCACTATGTCACTATATGTTATCGTTAATGGTTTCGTTAATGATTTCAGGTTATTCAATAATTAATTATTTTTGAAGAACTGAAGGTGTCACTATGTCACTATGTGTCACTCGGTTATTTAACTTCTCTGAAAAAATGAGACAACATGACATTTTGACAACATCACTGGAAATATGATGCAGCCCAAAAATAAAATTAGTTTTAAAATTATTTTTTTTTTTTATCCTATATAAATGACGGCAACAAACAACAATAGTGACTATATCGTTTCTGATGAAAAAGTTATTGATCCATTAGTTGAGGAATTAGTTGAGGAATTAGTTGTGGCAACAAACAACAATAGTGACTATATCGTTTCTGATGAAAAAGTTATTGATCCATTAGTTGAGGAATTAGTTATGACAGAAACTAAAACCCTCAGCGAAAGAATTGGTAAAAACATGATTGATTTACATAACTACCTCAAACATGATGGAGGAAGAGGAAGGAAAACCGGTATGGCTTTATTAGTAAATAAAATTCCAAATTTAACGATTATAGATGTTGATATCAATAAATCGTACAATGATGAACTTAAAGAAACGGTTAGAAAAGACATTTTATCAAAACTTTCGGATAAAGATGTTATCGTTAAAACCGCTTCGGGAGGTCTTCACATTTATTGCAACACTAATTTCTTCTATGCAGTTTCGAACAGAATGATTAAATGTTATTCCTGCAATGATTATGATATTGATATAATGACTTCTATTGATGATTCAAAGCGTTCATTAGTGGTTATGGCTGATTCAAGAGTTCGCAAGAATGCAACAGAACCAATCAATACATACTCATTCATTCGTGGAAGTTATGACTCAACATTAACTAGAACAGTGAATGATGTATTAAATGATTTGAATATTAAGGTAAGAGTTGAACAAAAGAATGAAGAAATAAAGACTATCATGAATGAAAACAAAGATGCAAACATTGACGATAAACTTGCCCAGAGCATAGTTGATGGTATCTGTGATTTTGAAGTACATAATGACGGTGGAAACATGAATTTAGAAAAAGAAGTTACATTATTCACACTGTTTCAAGCAATTAATTCGTTACCTAATCATTTAATTAATGAAGCATACGACAACGTTTATAACTTCTGCAGTTTAACAGAAAATGCAAAAAGTAATTTTGAAAAAGCACGTGATAGATATGCATATTTAATGACTTTCCATTTGTTTTGGTGAAGATTCTAAAACTATATCAAAAGGAATATTATGATGAATATGTTTTACCTTTATTACGTAAGCCAAAAATAACATTTGATATAAAACTTGATGACTCGTTTTTGATAACAGATATTAGACGCAAGGCTGAAAATCATCAGTATAAAAACAGTTCTGAAGTAATTGAGGATTTATCACGTGTAACCCGTTTTGTAGATTGTGGAAATAAATATTTCATTCAAAAGGACTACAATATCCACGACAAAATGAATCAAATATCATTCGTTCTTCAATCAAACATGAAAGAGTCACTTAAAATGATTAAATTATTTAAAGAAGAAGGTAAAACAATAACAGCATGGGATGTACTATTAAATCAATTGTCTTCATTAACCGTTAAGGGTGTTTGCTTTAAATCTAATTCTCCTGATGTTTTCTCAACGTTTCAAGGTTATAAATACAACATTCTCGAAAAACTAGATTACTCAAAAATTGAGATGTTTATGGATTTCATTCATGAAGTTATTTGTGATAATAACGATGAAGTGTATAAATACCTTCTCGGCTGGATTGCATCAATGATTCAACATCCTGGAATCAAGAATGAAACAGCAATTATTTTGAAAGGACTTCAGGGAACAGGTAAAAACAGATTCACGGACATTATTTCTGAACTTCTCGCCGGTTATTCATGTAAAAACATTACTGAAATAAGTGAGCTAACGGGTAATTTCAATTCAGTAGTTGAGAATAAAATGTTTCTTGTACTTAATGAACTCAAGAATGTTGGTGAAGATAGACTCGCAAACTTCAACGCTTTGAAATCAATTATAACGGATAATGAGATTAGAATTAATGAAAAGAATCAACCCAGAAGAACAGCTCAAAACGTTGCAAACTTCATTTTCGTAACTAACAACGTTTACCCTGTCAAAATTGAAGTTGGAGACAGAAGATATGTGGTTTTAAGAGTTAATGGTAAATTCAAGGGTCAATTTGATTACTTCAAGAATTTAATGAATTCATGCACAAAGGAATTTTATGATAATTTACTGACGTATTTTATGCAATATGACCTTTCATCATTTAATGTACGAATCATACCAATGACTGAAGCCAAACAAGATTTAATTGAATTATCATCAAATCCTTTAGATGTATGGATAAATACACATTATGATGAATTGTGTGCAGGTATGATATGTAAAAATGCTTTATTCTGCAAACCATCAGACATGAAAGACAAGAATTTTCAAATGAGTATTAAAGATAAATGTGATAAGAAACAGAGAAGAATAGATGGTAAACAAACATGGTGTTATGTTTTGAAAGAAGAAATGAAAGGATTATATAAACAGGTTGAACCAAACGATAATGAGGATTCATTTACTGATGATGAAATACCTGTAAATGAAGCTTTATAAAGTATGATTGGAATTTATTTTTGCATTAATCCCACTATGTTGTCAAAATGTCATGTTGTCTCATTTTTTCAGAAAAGTTAAATTACCGAGTGACACATAGTGACATAGTGACACCTTCAGTTCTTCAAAAATGCTTCATAAGTGCCTTCCTCATTAATCCCACTATGTTGTCAAAATGTCATGTTGTCTCATTTTTTCAGAAAAGTTAAATTACCGAGTGACACATAGTGACATAGTGACACCTTCAGTTCTTCAAAAATAAAGTATTATTGAATAACCTAAAATCATTAATGAAAATATTAACAATAACATCAAATTTAATTTTTATATAAATGGATACCCCACAAGCTCAAAATTTACCACGAATCATAACAAGGGAGGAAATGATAAAAATGATGCAAGAACTAATTAAAAAACAACAAACCACGAAAACCGAGAAGATGAGGAATAAAAAATTAAATTTGGATTGAGTTTAAAAATTCATCTTTATTAAATTCATCTCTTCCAATCAATTTATTTATTCTATTAAATTCTTTTATTTTTGCTTCACCCAGTTTAAGGATTGAACGATAAGTTTCTAATTTTTCGATTATTTCTTGATCGTTTTCAACCCCACCACATTGCGGCTTCTTTTTATAATAACATATTTTTGATTTAATTTTGTTTAGTTTCTTTTTATATTCATCGTCCGGACTCTTGGCTGCTTCGTTGTCATCATTTCTTACGAAATAAAAAAATTAAATATTATTTAAATATAATGGAGTAATAAATATTTCGGAATTTCTATTAATTTATTGTCAACCTCTACTAATGCATTACCGTTAATATATCTAACAAATTCAGCTATTGTGTCAAATCTTCGTCTTCTTTTTGTCATTGATTTATCAGTTTTTCCATAATCGAGATGAATCAAAACTTTATCCCCTTGTTTAAAATTCATGAGCCCCGAATTAATTTGTTCACGTTTAACATCATTTAACCTTTCCGTTTGCTTTCTAATATATTCCCATTCTTTTGAAATATCATTTTTCATTTCCACTGGTTTCATGTTTATACTTCTATGCCATGTATTATTGTAATAATATACTAACTGCTGTATGATGGAGTCATGATTTCCATCCCAGTATATCTGACCGTTAACCCTAACGCATCTCTAAGAGTTCTCATTACCGCATCAACTATTTTATTATGAAACGTATATGGAGAAGATGAAAAGTAAAAATTAATTTGTGGAAAATAATGAGCCATAGCTGCCTGAAATCCTTTATCACAATCACCCCTTATATTATCTACTCTTTCATGATCTAGTAAGTATTGAATAGCTCTTCGTGTTTCCTGTTCCGTTTTCCCTTTCACTGGAATGCAATATAAATATCGAGTGTTTACGTTAATGGCAAATAAATAAGTAACGTTTCCTTTTGAATATTCTAAATGATCGATTTCGTATGAATATGGATATGGTGCAAATGAGGGGCGACTAAATTTTTCCTTTAACGGTTGAATTTTTGGGTCAGTTGGTTTATTTAATATTTTAAAATCCTTTTTAAAATCTTTTTGCTTCTTAAATGTTTGAAATGGATATAATAAAGTGAATGATGAAGGATTAACTGAAGGAGGAGGTTTTGGTGTTGCAAGTGGTTTAATTTTATCTGCTTTGATTTTGGATTTCATTCCTTTTTTCATTAATTCTGGATGTATTTTATTCATTTTGTTTTAAATATACTGTATATAAACGTTTGATATACTTTCCCACTTCGAGTTTATGTTGAAGGATGAATTCCAAAAGTTGATCTTCATTTAAAAGTCGGGCTGAATATGGTTTAACTAATGAATCATAAATTAAAGCTTGTGCTTCATTTATGGTCTGAAGGGCCTGGGCGTTTTGCACTTTTAACTGTTGAACATTTGGCTTTTGCGGCTTGGGATTATATAATTTATATAATTCATCAATATCTTCTTCTGTTAATACTTTATTTTTGAAATCTTTCAATTGTTTAAGTTGCGGTTTAGTTTTTCCCTTTGCATATTCATTATTTTCAATTTTGTCTTTAATTTCAGAAATTATTTTATCATGATATTTCAAAATATCATTTTCATAATATGGATAATAATAATCCATATCATCACCCGTTATAGTGTTATCATATTTTTGGAGATATGCTTTTAAATCATAATAAGTAAGAAAATTTTGATTAAATACTAAATCATCAATTAATCTTTTTAAATTTACATCATCCATTTATATAAAAATAAAATAAATGTTTTAAGGGTGCCCACCTCTTTGATCAACTTCATAACCATCATTAACGGTTCCTTTTTGTCTCATTTGTGAATCCCATTTTTTTAAAAATAAAATTTCAAATTGTATTAAATAAATGGCATACAACATCCATTTTCACAACATACAGCCTTAGTGTGTGCTCCTGTTAATGCAGTCTTACCGATTGTTAAGCGAGTCATTGACCTGTTTTTAAGTTGTAAATTAATATTCTGACCATCAAATATCACTTTATCATTTATTATATCCAAATAATTTTTAGGTGTTAATTGTTTATTTTGTCGTAAACTAACTCCTTTCATTTTTTGTGCAATCTTTTTAAAATCACTTCCATCAATTGAACCGTTGAATGATGTATAACACTTGGGGCATAAAGCAACCATGTTATCGCCTTGTTTCTCAATTGCTAAACCCAATAACTTCTTCTCATGTGCTTTTTCTTCAACTTTATTCTTTAATTTAGGTTTAAATTTCTCATCAAAACTGAAGAAATCAAATGGTGCGAATTTGAAAATGTTTTTATCATAAAATTGTTTATCGGTAACAATTGCTTGAAATGCTTGAGTGTTAGGAAGACTTGGATCGCCAGCGATTGCCCAATAAGATGAATCAGTATCACCTTCAATGAAATGAAAACGATTAACATCCATGCATTTATACATAAAATCATAAATGAAAACTAAATACCAGTATTTAGCATTATCTAAAGTAAAGAATGCCTCTTGTAAACATGTTTCACATCTATAAAATCTATCTTTGAGCATCACTTGATATGTATCCTCACCTATTTCTCTTATGTTTTTAAACTTATTTGACATACATGCAATGCGTGCCTTCTGTGCATTCATTATTTTAGTCTTTGCGTAATTTTGTGTATTCATTGCATCGTAACCATATGATCCATTAAGTGAAATCTTGCAAAATAAACTTTTTCCTTTATTTCCTTCTAATTCAGCCTTTTGTCTTTCATTCATAAATTTGTTCGCAAATTCATTAAAACAAGTGTTTTTAGTAAATGTTAAAATTGATTGAATATCATCAATGATAAAATGAAATCTGTCGATTAGATACCAAAGATAATAAGAAGAAAATGGTTGATAATGGTTGTGTGTTGATGCTAACTGAGTTAATTTTCTCTGTTTCTGGTCAACTGGTAGATTGTTTGATTTCATGTAATTATACATAAAACTGCCAATTGTTTTTTCATCTGTGATAATATCTAAGTTTCTTATTATCGGTAAAAAGTTTATGTAATCATTAATGTATTTTTCATCAATGTGACCCTTTACTTCAGCCACGAATAAAGTATTTTTCTTTCTAATAATTCCCAATGCTTTTGCTTTCTTTGTTGCTGTATCACAAATGATAACACCATTCAATCTTCCCGGCATATACATTTTATGGTCAGTATATTGAATGAAATCATGAGGATTAGATGAAAATGATGAAGGATATAATGAATTAAAATCAACACCAACGAAATGAGTCATAATGTTGGAAGTGTCCTCATTTGATACAGTTTTAGTTTCTGGATTATATGCAAGTTTATTAATGTGCGTGATTCCTTTAAGATTTACTCTATGTTGAACATTTGATAGACCACCAGTAATTCCATTACGGAGAATGTGATAAGCTTCAACTGAATCTAAAGTCATTGGTAAATTATTTTTTAATGCATAATTTCTTAAATTGATTCTTAAACGTTGAACATCTTCATCTTTATTTGATTTTACGACATTGCAATAACAACACATTAACTGACAATTTTCTTTAGTATGTGGTTTTTCATTATCGATTCTATCCAATGTTGGTTTATTAGCATATGTAAACGCTTTACCACACATTTTGCATTTAGATGAAAGGATTAAATCGTGATAGTATTGAAAATCATCCATTGAAACATTATTTTTAGTATCTCTTTTTGCTTTTTCATCTTGTTTCTTATATGATTCAATTTTATATTTCCAATACTTTTTCGTTAATTCAAAACTTGATTCTATCTTTTCCTCAGGATATTTTTCATTAAGATTAAAGTCTTTATATGCTAAAGCGTAACGAATCATTGAAGCATTTGATGATAAAGAAAGATTATGAAGCATATCAATTTTATAAACAAATGTTTCTTCAATAATTTTATCAATTGGGTCAATCATAATTTCAACATCTTTATTGCAATAATGAATAAAATATTCTAATCTATTCTTAAAATTTTTAGCATCATTGAGATATATTTGATAATCACTATCTGATATAGTTTCTTGAGTTAATGCTGAATAAAATGAATCTTGAGTGAATGGTTCCACTTTATATAATTCTTCTTCGTAATTTCCCATGTGATGAATTGATAAGGGAAAAAGGATTTAACACGTGATTTATTGTTTCCGAAATCTTGAGTGAATTGATCCAATGTTCCACCCGCTATATAATTTCTGATGTCAATAAATCTCAATTCATATGGAACGTTTGTTTTCTTTACAATGATTTGCTTAAATTGTGAAGATGAACCCAGCATTGATTTTATTTTCCATTTTGCAGTGTTTAAATCACGAAGAATTAAATTTAAATCAAACTTTCCCGAATTAAAACCTATGATATTCACTTTATTAAATTCCTCATCTAGAAGTTCTTTAAATGCTTCCTTCTGTTTTTCATTTAATGTAAGGGACAACAATAATTCATTGTATTGACTCATATTTGATTCAACAACTAATGAACAGGTTGAAAATAAAAACTCAATCCAATCAGAAATAAAAGAATCACTTGAAGTTAAGCAAAAATTCCTCGTATATGTTTTATCATTTAATTTAACCGTTGATGATACCATGAATGGTTTTAAGTAAGCATTCAAAGTTGCACACTCAGAAAGTTGTAATTCTTCTTTAGTCTCTAATGTTTCAAAGTCAAAAGTAATATAATATCTTGTCGGTTTATAATATTCCTGCAAATTGTGAGCTAATAACCACTGATATATCTTCTGTTTCATAATATGTGGTGCATATGGTTGCTGGGTTTTTTGCAATTGAACGTCTTGAATTAATCTTCCATTATTTTCTTTACATTTCTCACAATGCTTTAAAAATCTTCTTTGGTTTTTCCTTTCTGGATCATCGCGGATAGAATAAACTTTTTCTTTACAATATGGACAAACTTTATAGCCGGTGAGTGCTTCAACGTCTGTTATTCTGTCAGCGTGAAGTTTTCCACATGGACTCTGTGTTAATAAAATATTTACTGTTTCAAATTCTGGATCTATCATTATTGATTCCACTAATGGAAAGTCTACCTTATTTATGTCCACGTCTTCTGGTTGAGGATCACAATAATAGAAATCAATATTAACATTTAACATTCTCGCTAATCTCTCACTTTCTGATGAAATGTCAAACCCTTCATATGCATCTATTGCTTCATTTAAATAGCTTCTACGAGTTTTAGGATTAGCACCATCAGGAATGTTATAGAAGCGTTTAAATAACCTTCTACCTTCTGCTCTAATTTGATTATCATTCATTTTAGCTGTTCCGTTTTTGTTCATTTATGTAAGAATAAAAATTAAATAAAAATAAAGTTTATTTATTAAAGTCCGTAAAATGAATTAAGAATACATAAATTTTTATCATCTGCGACGTGACAAATACATTTTAATTTACTCAAGAATGCATACCCTGATACATTAAATCTAATTCCTGTCTTATTTAATTTCACAACTTTGAAAAGGAATGTATGAATAGCTATAAAATGATGAGAAGATGTTTTATGGGTTGCTTCCATTTTTTCTGAAATAAATGAATAAATATAATGATTATAAGTTTTCATATCTTTTATGTTCTTAATAACGAATGGTATAGACCTTTCAACTTCATCTTCCTTCGGTGCTGTTCTTTCATATGAAACATTATTGGTATCTTCAACAATGAAACCACAATCACACAAAATTTTATAGGTTCCAATGGTTTCTTTTGATATTTTATCTAATAAATCAAAAACTTTATCAACACCTGTGCATTTATTTAAATAATAATTTGTGTAAATATCATGATCTTCTTTTTTAATCGTATTAGTTGCATATGTCACGTTTTTAAGAGCTTTTTTGAATTTCTCAGAATCTAAAGGTGGTGAAAGTAATATACAAGGGTATTCTTCATTATCAATAAATTGTAACTTATGTTTATGAATAAATTTAGTTCCTTCTTCTGAAAGTGTTTCATCTATTTCACCATCTAATAAATTTTGTGTTGATTCTAAGACATAATTTTTATATCTTTCTTCATGAGATTTCTGAACTTCTGATTCTGAAGCTGGGATATTCATTAAACCCTCTACTTCATTTTCAACTTCTCTTAATTCCTTAATTTTTTCATCTATTTCATCTCTTATTTTTTCCAGTCTTTCAATTTCATCATATTCATCATCTTTAATCCGTTCTTCATAATATTCAGGGAAAACATCAGGTTCTTTAGGTTTTTCTTTTTTAGATGTGGGATATAAGAAATTTATAACATCATCTTTATTCATTTTTCCATCATAATCAAACTCATTTAAAAACTCCGCAAATTTTTGACAATTTCTTAAATAATATTTATCAACTTCATAACCCGCCTCCTTTAATATATCCTTTATTTCCTCATTTGTGAATCCCAATTTTTTAACGCTGTTAGTTGTGACACTCATTTCATACGAATTAAAAATAAATTATTCAAAAATGTAAGACATGAATCAAATAATTGATTTCATAAATTCAAATAATCATTAGTTTCTTAAAGTTCAATGTTGAACTCATCAAATTCATCTTCATCATCATCATTACCAATAGCGAGTTTATTTATTCTTTCGATTCTATCTTTTGATAGTCTATCGTTTAATTTTTTCTGAAGTTTTTCGTTACCAAGTTCTAAAATTTTACATGGATGATATTTAAACTCGTTAAATTCTTTTTCCTCAGTTTTAATCATTAATCTACAAAGAACTTTAGTGAAGTGGTTTTGTTGTTTAAACCACTTATCCTTAATATTTGTTATAAATTCAATATTCGGAATTAATTCCCAAATTTTTGAATTTTCGATTAATTTACCATCAAATGCAAAAGCAATAGGTTTAATATTAAACTTACCTTTATAAAATAAACTTTCTATGTAATCATCAAAATAAACATCTACTTGTTTAACTTAGGTGAGAATTGGTGAAAGTTTATCCATTAATTGATTCACAGTCACGAATCTTGTTCCGTTCATTTATGTAAGAATAAAAAAAATAAATTATTTTTAAAATTAATGTTAATTATTTTTAATGTGTTTATTACATCATGTATGGGTTGAGTGTAAATGTCTTACATTTTTAAATCTTGATTTATTCTAAAACGTAAGAATAAAAACCGTAAGAATCATACATTTTTTACTTCATATGTCAAAAATAATGATACAAAATCGTTCAATATCGTATGAATTCTTACATTTACAAAAAAAGTCACTAAACCCGTCATATCCACTACTTCCATTACATATCATATAAAAAAATAAAGAAAAATTTTTCTCCCCGTCTTATTGTTTTATATCATTTTTTTCGAGGCTACCCTCAGTAAATGACATCTAAGCAAGTCATCCTTATTCAAAAACCACATGATGAAGAGTTACAGGAGTACTTTTCCAAGAGTGATTTAAAATTCACGAGCTTTTTTGTTGAAAAAGTATGCAACTGCAAAACATTAATCGAATTTCTGAATGCTTCCATTTGTGCACCAGATATATTTATTAAAAAGTCAATAATGCGCAAATTAATTCATGAATTCCGTTTCAGAGGAAAAAGCTTCATGTTTGCAGATATTAGTAATTCGAACGTAGATTTAAATGATCACGATTACATTCTATTTTGCAATAAATACGACTTTTATGGGTATATTTCAAAAGATCAAAAGAAAATTTCCCAAAGTCCACTAAGTATTAATGCTATTATTAAGGAAATATTCCCCAGTAGTAAAATTCAAATCAAACCATGGAAGGATTTTCGATTTGGAATTAAAAATGCATTTTACGTGAGATGGCTATATTTTACAGAGAAAGCTCCTCCTGATTTTCTTAATAACGACTTATATTCGTTTATTCATGACATTTATATCAATTGTATCAATATTGACAGACAAATATCCGAATATTTAGTAGCAATTGATGCAATTAATAACAAAAACCCTGTTTCAATTTATTCAAGCAATAAATTCCTTGGATTACTAATAAATTGGTACAAAAACCAGTCATCCCTTCCATTTCCTTTATATTATAAGACATCAGATCAACCAGACCTTATTTTAGAAAGTAAATCTACCAAAGCCGTTTCGGTTTCAAACGAAAAAGAACAATATGTTTTCAAAGGCGTAAAAATAGAGAAACCAAATGTTTCATCATTCAAACACAAGAAAGTTGTTGAATTGAATGTGCATAAGCCAACAATTACTCCATTAAATTTAAGAAAAAGTGATGAAATTGTAAAATCTCCTCCAAAAGAAGAGCAAACGACTTCAAACAATACTAATGATCTCTCATTAGTTTATTTAATCTCAGAAGGATATAATTTAATGATAAGGCAAGATGGATATCCATGTTTCTGTCCAGCATATGTATCAAAGACGCAACCAATTAAGATAAAAGTTTTAGATGCTAAATTTAAACCAATAAACCACAGAATACAATTCTATTGCTACCAAACACCTAAATATTCTTTCAGTGATGAAACGAAAGAAAGTAATATTTATATTGATGAATATTCAAGTAATATTTCTCTCACGATTTATTTCACTGACGAATTCTACACGAACTTATTTTTTAATTTCCAAATCATTGAAGACTTGAGTTATTACACTCAACCAGAGAAATACAGCATTCTCTGCCTTAATCAGAGCCAGATTTGGATTTCTGACAATACTCAGATCAAACAGTAGCTATTTTACTTTGTATAATAATAATAAAAAACATTTTAAAATTGTAGAATTTCAATATTAACTTGATAGAACTTCATATTTATTTCATAACTTATTAAATCAAGAGGTTATAAAGAAATAAAAGAGAGATTTATATTTAACTTGCTAATAAATGCTGCTGTAGGAAAACTTGATATATTAAAATATCTTATCTACTCAGGTATTTATTAAGAAGTACAAGATAAAATCGAAAGTACTGATGAGGAAGAAAGTGAAAATTCTACAAGAGATTAAATCATTGTTATTTAATTATTTTTATTCGAGTTGAATAAAGTGATTATTATGTTTGCCGCACTGACGTAAATGTTAAAATCGTGTTTTTATGAATATATAAACTTCTTGCAAAAGAAATGATTTTAGATATTTCATTTGACATCTTTATAATGGATTAATATGATTATTTTATCAAATGGTAACCTCATATACATGATCTCATACTGTAATAGAGCTCCCTCTATTATAGATTCCATTAGTAGTGGATATGACGGGTTTAGTGACTTTTTTTGTAAATGTAAGAATTCATACGATATTGAACGATTTTGTATCATTATTTTTGACATATGAAGTAAAAAATGTATGATTCTTACGGTTTTTATTCTTACGTTTTAGAATAAATCAAGATTTAAAAATGTAAGACATTTACACTCAACCCATACATGATGTAATAAACACATTAAAAATAATTAACATTAATTTTAAAAATAATTTATTTCATCTTTTATAAAAGAAGCTATATATAGATGATGTCAGATATTCCGCGATTAATTAAAACAAGTGTTTAAATCATGAATGGAATCAATGGAGTCATAATCAAAGACCTCATAAATGAGAAAAAGAAATTGAAACTAATGATTATTTGAATTTATGAAATCAATTATTTGATTCATTCTTTCTTCAATCTCTTCTATTCTTTTTGTTAAATCATCAATTTTCATTAATGAGGTGATTCTTGATTGAGGAATAGATTTCAAACTAACCACCCCCTTTATTTTTGAAATTTTGAATCCATCAACTTTAAACATTTTATTCAATTTACATGTTGTCAATTCTTCAAATAATTTTTTATTATTAGCATAATAGTCATTAAATTCTTCAACAGATGAAAAAATTTTTGTTTCAGTAATTGGTTTAACAACGTTAATTTTTTGTTGAACATTAACACTTTCATTTATTTCTTCCTCCTCTGTTCCATTTATTTTTAAAATCGGTTTCATTTATCATTAAATAAAAATTAGAATATAAGTGATGAAATATATTTTTTAATTAATATTAAATCAGAAATGGCGGCAGGATTCTTTAAAAAATTATGGGATGGAATTAAGAAAGCTGCAGGTTGGGTTTATAAAAAGGTTATTAAACCTGTTGCAAACTTTTTGGCACCAGTAGCGAAAACGGCAGGAACTATCATAAGTGGAGTATTAGGTACAAAAGCAGGTAATCCAGCGATGGGAGCACAAGCAGGTAACGCAATTGGTGGAATTGCTGAAGGAATACTTAATAAAATAGGTGGTAAATAGTGGAAAAATAAATAAATATTATTTTTATCTTAGTATTGGTTGTAGTCTTTGATAAACTTTTTCTCCTTTATTTAAAATTTCTCTTATTGGGGCAGCTTTTGGTGTTATTGATTCAGCTACGTCACTAATTGCTTCTTTATTCTTAAATATCCAATTTGCACCCTTCTTCAATGTTTCCCAAACTTTACTCGCTCCTCTTTTTACTCTATCCCACAGTTTCTTAAATATACCTGCAGCCATAGTTGATTATTTCATTAAAATTAAAAATTCATTTACATCTTTTAATTTTGAATTTTTATTTATTAATAAATGACGACTAACTATTTAGTGCCAAACACCAAACCAATTAATGGAAATGTGTTTCATTCATTCGAAAAGATAAATGAAATATTCGCAAAGAATGACGGTAGAAGATATTATAGAGAACTTGAAAGTTCATGCTATGACTCTGATGCTCCATATTTTGATGATAAACAAACTCATTTAAGAATTACAAATCCGGCTCATGATGTGAACCAATTAGGTGACACATATATTAAACGCAAAGTTAAAGCAACTCTTGTTTCAAATAAAGCTTTCACATGTGATGCCGCTTTTAAATGTATGCGTTTATTCGTTGGTTACAAATCATCAAATCAAAGCTTTAAACAATTAGAAGTAGAAACTGAAAGAGGTGATGCCGGTTATCTTCAGATGGATTGCGCCCGTGAATCTTTTGCATTTGCAACATATAAACCAAAATCAGAAAGGAAAGTTAAAAAGTTTGTTCATTCGTTATATAATAATGTTCAAAAATATGATAACTCAGTATGTGGTAAATATATTGACCCATCGGAAGTTTTCAAGAAAGCAAATGAAGAAGTTGATGTCACTTTTGATATGATTATTCCGGTAAATGATTTGTTAGCATTTCAGGCGTTCGATGATTATCCTAAATCATTTGGCGATATCATTCTTAAATATTATTTTTCAGGGATACTTTAGTATTTTGTCAGGTTGACCCGTTAAGAGTTGCTGATTTACAAAATTACGTTTTTGAAAAGATAACTGATGAAAATTATGAAAAGATTATGAATCATGTTTATAAATATGATCGCAAATTCCAACAAATCGGACTTCCTGCCAAATTAATTACAGGCTTAGCTGCTACATCTGCTGACGCAACAGTTGATGACGTTATTATTTCATGCATAAAGATGGAAGTTTTAGAGGATAAATGTATTACACCAGGATACGGTTTAATTGAAGAATCAGTTAAAGCAATACCACGTTTATTCAGTAAGGAAGATCCATTCATGATACCAGCTCAACATATTGACGTTCGTTCACTAAATGGAGGTTGCATCACTCCAGAAGGTATTAGCTCAGATTTCTCATATGCTCTTCATAATGTTACAGATGTTGTGTTAACATTTCCGAAAAATGCAATGCAAAGAACAGTTTTAGAAAATCCAATGCTTCGAGGTCTTCAGGTCACTATAGATTCAAGAAACTTCCCCGATCAAGCGATGACCACAGTGGGTGACATATTCTTTACACGTATGCTTCAAGCTTCTGATTTAGATGGAGTGAATGAATGCACGGAAGAATATGAGGACTCATTAACTAGACCACTGAATGCAGATGATGGCACGCCATTAGCTAGAACATGGAAAGACCAAACCTCATTCTTATGCACTATTCCAGTTCAACGTGATGGAGCGGGTATATTCTTTGATGGATTAGAAACTTTTAACTCACAAGTTACAGTACAAGTGAAAGCTTATCCAATCATTCAGGGTGAAAATGACACTTACTGTTCAAAGGTGACAAATCCTCCTCAGGTTTGGTTTACTAGGACTACATATTGGACATGGACACCGGATGAAGGTTTGAAATATCATTCAACAGGTACACCACCACAGTATAGAAGTTCATATGATGAAATATTGATGAATAGAAATGTTTAAAATTATAAATTTATTTTTGATTAAATGGATTTAAATTCATCCACCCTTATGAAGAATTAGCAGGAGTATATAATACATACGTAGATGATATGATTAATGAAGCATTGAGTGATAATAAACATGCTCTATCTAAGGAAAAATTAATGAAAATTCCATATTCTGAATGTTACTTAAATTCAATCACTGCAGCAATTGGTAAACAAAATAAAGGTAAAACATTAACGATATTAAAACAAATTATCATTATTGCTAACACTTCCCCCTATTCACATGTGTTAATTTATATCAACCGTTCAGGTTCACCTTCAGATGATACATTTGAATCTTTAAAGCATTTAATCAAAATTCCAATTATTTATTTATCACAAGAAGAAGCAGAAGATTATTTAAAAAACTTTTTAATGTATAAAGAATTATATAATACAATCAAGAAGCAAGGATTAGAGGATAAAATTATTGATAAACAACAGGATGAATTATTTGAAACACTTTCCATTTCAAATTTTGATAAAGAATTTTTGCATTCACTCATTTTTCTAGATGATGCAGTGAAATCAAAACTAATAACAAATGAGAAATCATATTTTAATCAGTTATTAACTCAATGTCGACACATTCAGTGTTCATTTTTTATGGCTGTTCAATATTTCAAAGCATTAAGCACAAACATTAAATCAAATCTATCAACACTTTTCATTTTCAGTGGGTTTAGTCGTCAACAGTTGAACGTTATGCTTTATCAAGTGAATTTACCAATGAGCATTAATGAACTTTACATACAATATCAGCAATTAGGTGAACATGGAAAAATAATAGTTGATTTAAATAAAGGGGTGTTAAATTTGATTAACTTTTTATAATTAATTTTTATTTTTTATTTATAATTAAACATGACAGAAATAGCAAATCTTTTACAAGTTCCATTAAAACAAGGGACAAACAAAAGGGGTGCATATAATAGAACTATGAAAGTTCCCGATGGAATGAAAGAATTAGTTCATATTGTTGCTGGTCTTCAAAAAGATGTTAAACAAATGAGAAATGTTTTAACATTACCAGAAGCTCAAGCATATGCAAACGTCACGGTCCAAATTGGGAAGCACACGAAGCAGACATTACGGGTCCAAATGGAAAACCTGATGGTATAAATGAAGTTTTCGTTACTGATGGACAAGGTAATATTAAAGTCATAAATGGTTATAAATTAACTGTATCTGATTATCCTAAACGTAAAGCATATAATGAACATTATCCTATGCAATTTGATGAAAATGGAAAAGCTGTTAAACAATACATTGGAGAAGGTGAAAATGGTCCAATTAATTCATACCGTCATAATCCATATTCTTATTTCAATGAGGAATTAAATGCTATTGAAGAGGGACCGGAGGGATTACCACGATATTCTAACCAGTTTGATGGTCAATATGCAAATATTAGACCTGAAATTTCAGCTAAGAAATTCTTTAAAGTTGCTTTATTTGATCCAGTTTTCGCAAATGTTAAAGATGAACTTAAACAACAATTCCAACCAATTATAGTAGCAAGAATTGCATCAGGTGCTTTATCTCAAGCATTCAAAGATTTAATTAAGAAACCATTATATCAGCAACGAGGTTTAACTTATGATTTAGTTAAGGAATCAGATAAAAGAAAATTTGAGAAATCAGTTGATTATAAGAATGCAATTAATGAATATATTCGGTCTATTAATTTCGATGAAACAGCTAAAAATCAACTTCATGAACAAATACAGGGAATAATAGATTCAAAAGTTCCAGTAAAATAAAAGTTTAAATATATTTTTTTATTCGATTATAAATGAGAAGACGTTTTACTAGTCAAAAGAACACTAACGCAAAAGCAGAGATTACGGTTGGTTATAACGTAAATGATGATAAATCACGAATTATTCAAAATGTTAAAGTTAATGTTAGCCCTGAATTAACAAGGTCAGCAACTCAACCAAATTTATTAACTCATGACTTACCGAAGAATGAGGAGAATGAAGACCCAATCATTTTATCTGAACCTGGTAAAGAACCCGTTGAAATTCCCACTTATCCAACATACCCAGCACCTCTTTCATCAAACATCGAGAACCCATATAAAATAGACATTAATTTTGAATTAATGAAAATTTACCGTGATATAATAATTAATAATTATGATTCAATAATAAATTTAATTGACCAATCCGGTTTAATTATTTTACCTTATGAATCATTAATTCACATTATCGCCATTCTTTGTGATGTTCAAGATTCAGACGTTAAGATTCAATTTTTCATAGATGATGAGGTTTCATGCTGTGGAATAGTTGCAAAAATAAATCCTATAAAGGATATTAGCACAATTAAGATATCAAAGAACGGAACAACAACAGAACTTCATTTAACATATAATGATATTTATAATAAAATAGTTGATGAATATAAAATATCACTTGAAAAATTCTTTGTTAAGGCTATTTAATATTCAAGCATTAACATTAACGAATAATAATCCTTTGAATCATAATCAATAATAATTGACCTTTCACCAGTTTCTATCGTTTGTTTTATTTCTTTTTGTTCCCCACTATCCGGATCAGTCATTGTAATTGTTTTTGTTATAGTATCAGCTTTATCTTTAACTTCAATCTTTTTTCCATCAGGATATTTAAACCAAAATTCCAAAAATTCGATATTGTCAATCTGTTCATATTTTAATCTATCAATTGCATTTTTAATACCATCTGAAAATCTTATGAAATGGTCATTATATGGGTTTGATTGAACTAAATTTGAATGAAGTGAAATATAACCCGATGATGAATATGACATCGACTCATATTTTCTGAAAACACTAAAATTTATAACATGAATGAATTTTTTATTCGTTGAATTTATGAATTCTTGAGGTAATCTTATTTTAGTTTTATTTATCACTGGAAAATAACGCTTTACCATATTTTTAATCGTAATAAAAAATGTCAATTATCAATATTATTTCGAATAATAGTTGTGAATTAAATTTAACAGTTAGCGGAATTTATAATGTTACTCTCGTTTCTGTGAGTGGTAAATTTAATCCCATTCTTTTAGACCCTTCAGATTATATATCATTTATTAAAGATGACCATGAAAAAACGTATGATATGTATATAAATAATGTGATCACGAAATGGGATATTAACATGATTTTAAGTTATTTAAATGAATCATTTATCGTATGGTATGAAGAAAATTTTAAATCAAAACCTGAAAAACTTTTTGAACTTGATGAAATAAATAACCTTATTAAATTCCCGCTGAAAATTAAATTTTGTACTCCTCATTTTCGTTCATTGTTGGGGATATTAAATTTTGAAAAAGATGTTGGGGATGTTTTGTATTCTGACACTGGTTCCAATTTCATTTTAATCAAATGTGATAAAGTTAATACCCCAATGAGATTTTCACATCAAACATTAGACCCTAACTCTTACCCATCAATACAAAACATTTTATCCATCAACTTAAACACATTTTCTTTATCATATCCGTTTCAATTATCCGGGAATTCATTTATTCTTCATTCAAAAGATTTATCAAATATTAAATTTAGAATAACTGACCTATTTGATTGTGATTTAGAATTTATGAATGAAATATTATGGCAATTTCAAATAGAAAAAATAGCTGATGAGATAACGGATTAAATATTTATTTTTAAATCATAATAAATGATTAAACAACAGCAACCACAGCAACTTAAGGCGCAAACCATTACATACGCCATATATGCATATAATTCAAAGACGGCAGAACAAACACAAAAGTTGAAATATGGAGATTTGGAGATAGTATTGAAAAATGACCATTTCGAATTCGTTTGCAAAGGTGGTGCAGTGATATCAAATATAAAAGAAATTTTATTTATGAATTCAAAAATTAAAGGTATAACGGATGATATAACATCAATTCCACCAGAAGAACAAAGATATTACGCATTAAATGCATTTCCCAAAGTTTTGAAATTGGAAGATTTAATTTAAATGAGGAATTCATAAAAGGTTTCCTAAATGACATAATGAAGAAAGCAGATAAGGAATATGTGGCTAGTGAGTTAGAGAAGAAAGCAAATTTGGTTTATGTTGATGAAAAAGATAATGAAATTAAAGAAAGGGTTGAATGGTATCATGAATGGACATCGAAGATTTTTAAAACTAAAGCTGATACAGGTTGGGTTTCAGGATGTTTAGACCTTAAAGCGGATAAAACTTATGTTAATGATGAGTTAGAGAAGAAAGCAAATTTGTTTATGTTGATGAAATATACCAAAGTTTGATAGGAACAACAAAAAATATTGAAACTATTGCTGGTGACTTTCTGTCAATGAAAAATAAATATTTTAGATGGCAGTTTGTACAGTCCTTAAAAAATGTACACGGTGTAAACTCATTCCGAAAAATAACAATGAAATGTATGTAAGTTATAAAAAGAATGATGGCACACAAGTTAAAGTTCCATTAGACAACAACTGTTACTTAAACTTATATGGAGACGAACAAAAGAAATATTTAAGAGTTTATGAAATGACAGATATGACATTGTCTAACCTAGCTCCAGCACCATATTATTATGACTATGGAGATGATGTCAGAACACCACATGTAGATGAACAAAAGTTAACATTATATTTAGATTATTATAGATATAAAAGATATAATGCAATAGAAAAAACAAGAATAGTATATTATTATACAGATGACAGAAATAAATATTATAGTCAAAATTTTACCTACCCTGAAAACATAAGATTATATTATAAAAAATATTCTAACACAAACCAAAAGAAACCTGAAATAGTTGCACTATATTTTAAGTTCAAAAGAGACAATCCTATAATATCTCATATGTTTGATTTAATGAACCCAGTAGGTTCTATTTATACATCTACGGATGCAAGAGGTCCTCAAGCAATGTTTGGTGTTGGTGCATGGGAACAAATAGTCGACAGGTTTTTGTATTGTGCAAACTCATCAAAGGAAACAGGGGGAAGTAAAACGATTACAGGTGAAAATTTACCTGCACACAGTCACTACATAGATTTAAGCACATCTCAAGCGGGTTGGCATAAGCATAGATATTGGGATTGGTCAGGAATGACAAAAGGTAAAGGATATGATGTTAAAGATGACGTTAAGTTTGCTATAAATTGTTACTGGAGTGACACTCAGGGAGAAGGAAACCATACACATTTCGTTTCAGGATATACACAAACAACAGGACAAAGTAAAGAATACATGCCACCATTTATGACAGTTTACGCATGGTATAGAGTTCAATGAACGCTCAATGTTTGTTTCACAAACTTTAGGAGCTCCAAAAGAGTGAACGGTATAATTTAAATTTTTATTTTAGTATAAATGAAGATTCTACCATATGGTGTTATTGGAAGAGATAAAGATGGAAACCCAATATTTGATCCAAAGTTAAAATTCAAGTTACTGACAAGACAACAACTTGAAAAGTTGTTGAAACCAAAACAGGATGAGAAAATGAGAAAGAAAAAAATTTAAATTATGTAATTTTATTTTTATCATAAATGACAAAATTAATTAAGCCAACTATTTCTAAATTAATGTTACCAATGAAATCATTTCGTGGAGTACTTATCCCAGGTTCTTCACAATTAGCTGGGGTAGGTGTTGTGACTCAAGGTGGAACGTTAGCGAATCCATTCAAATTATTAACTAAAGATGAAGTTAATAAAATGATGATAAAATAACTGATAACAAAATTTGATTTCAGGTTATTCAATAATTAATTATTTTTGAAGAACTGAAGGTGTCACTATGTCACTATGTGTTATCGTTAATGGTTTCGTTAATGATTTCAGGTTATTCAATAATTAATTATTTTTGAAGAACTGAAGGTGTCACTATGTCACTATGTGTCACTCGGTTATTTAACTTCTCTGAAAAAATGAGACAACATGACATTTTGACAACATCACTGGAAATGTATGTTATCGTTAATGATTTCGTTAATGGTTTCGTTAATGATTTCGTTAATGGTTTCGTTAATGATTTCGTTAATGATTTCAGGTTATTCAATAATTAATTATTTTTGAAGAACTGAAGGTGTCACTATGTCACTATATGTTATCGTTAATGGTTTCGTTAATGATTTCAGGTTATTCAATAATTAATTATTTTTGAAGAACTGAAGGTGTCACTATGTCACTATGTGTCACTCGGTTATTTAACTTCTCTGAAAAAATGAGACAACATGACATTTTGACAACATCACTGGAAATGTATGTTATCGTTAATGATTTCGTTAATGGTTTCGTTAATGATTTCGTTAATGGTTTCGTTAATGATTTCGTTAATGATTTCAGGTTATTCAATAATTAATTATTTTTGAAGAACTGAAGGTGTCACTATGTCACTATGTGTTATCGTTAATGGTTTCGTTAATGATTTCAGGTTATTCAATAATTAATTATTTTTGAAGAACTGAAGGTGTCACTATGTCACTATGTGTCACTCGGTTATTTAACTTCTCTGAAAAAATGAGACAACATGACATTTTGACAACATCACTGGAAATATGATGCAGCCCAAAAATAAAATTAGTTTTAAAATTATTTTTATTTTTTTATTCCTATATAAATGACGGCAACAAACAACAATAGTGACTATATCGTTTCTGATGAAAAAGTTATTGATCCATTAGTTGAGGAATTAGTTGAGGAATTAGTTGTGGCAACAAACAACAATAGTGACTATATCGTTTCTGATGAAAAAGTTATTGATCCATTAGTTGAGGAATTAGTTATGACAGAAACTAAAACCCTCAGCGAAAGAATTGGTAAAAACATGATTGATTTACATAACTACCTCAAACATGATGGAGGAAGAGGAAGGAAAACCGGTATGGCTTTATTAGTAAATAAAATTCCAAATTTAACGATTATAGATGTTGATATCAATAAATCGTACAATGATGAACTTAAAGAAACGGTTAGAAAAGACATTTTATCAAAACTTTCGGATAAAGATGTTATCGTTAAAACCGCTTCGGGAGGTCTTCACATTTATTGCAACACTAATTTCTTCTATGCAGTTTCGAACAGAATGATTAAATGTTATTCCTGCAATGATTATGATATTGATATAATGACTTCTATTGATGATTCAAAGCGTTCATTAGTGGTTATGGCTGATTCAAGAGTTCGCAAGAATGCAACAGAACCAATCAATACATACTCATTCATTCGTGGAAGTTATGACTCAACATTAACTAGAACAGTGAATGATGTATTAAATGATTTGAATATTAAGGTAAGAGTTGAACAAAAGAATGAAGAAATAAAGACTATCATGAATGAAAACAAAGATGCAAACATTGACGATAAACTTGCCCAGAGCATAGTTGATGGTATCTGTGATTTTGAAGTACATAATGACGGTGGAAACATGAATTTAGAAAAAGAAGTTACATTATTCACACTGTTTCAAGCAATTAATTCGTTACCTAATCATTTAATTAATGAAGCATACGACAACGTTTATAACTTCTGCAGTTTAACAAAAAATGCAAAAAGTAATTTTGAAAAAGCACGTGATAGATATGCATATTTAATGACTTCTCCATTTGTTTTGGTGAAGATTCTAAAACTATATCAAAAGGAATATTATGATGAATATGTTTTACCTTTATTACGTAAGCCAAAAATAACATTTGATATAAAACTTGATGACTCGTTTTTGATAACAGATATTAGACGCAAGGCTGAAAATCATCAGTAAAAAACAGTTCTGAAGTAATTGAGGATTTATCACGTGTAACCCGTTTTGTAGATTGTGGAAATAAATACTTCATTCAAAAGGACTACAATATCCACGACAAAATGAATCAAATATCATTCGTTCTTCAATCAAACATGAAAGAGTCACTTAAAATGATTAAATTATTTAAAGAAGAAGGTAAAACAATAACAGCATGGGATGTACTATTAAATCAATTGTCTTCATTAACCGTTAAGGGTGTTTGCTTTAAATCTAATTCTCCTGATGTTTTCTCAACGTTTCAAGGTTATAAATACAACATTCTCGAAAAACTAGATTACTCAAAAATTGAGATGTTTATGGATTTCATTCATGAAGTTATTTGTGATAATAACGATGAAGTGTATAAATACCTTCTCGGCTGGATTGCATCAATGATTCAACATCCTGGAATCAAGAATGAAACAGCAATTATTTTGAAAGGACTTCAGGGAACAGGTAAAAACAGATTCACGGACATTATTTCTGAACTTCTCGCCGGTTATTCATGTAAAAACATTACTGAAATAAGTGAGCTAACGGGTAATTTCAATTCAGTAGTTGAGAATAAAATGTTTCTTGTACTTAATGAACTCAAGAATGTTGGTGAAGATAGACTCGCAAACTTCAACGCTTTGAAATCAATTATAACGGATAATGAGATTAGAATTAATGAAAAGAATCAACCCAGAAGAACAGCTCAAAACGTTGCAAACTTCATTTTCGTAACTAACAACGTTTACCCTGTCAAAATTGAAGTTGGAGACAGAAGATATGTGGTTTTAAGAGTTAATGGTAAATTCAAGGGTCAATTTGATTACTTCAAGAATTTAATGAATTCATGCACAAAGGAATTTTATGATAATTTACTGACGTATTTTATGCAATATGACCTTTCATCATTTAATGTACGAATCATACCAATGACTGAAGCCAAACAAGATTTAATTGAATTATCATCAAATCCTTTAGATGTATGGATAAATACACATTATGATGAATTGTGTGCAGGTATGATATGTAAAAATGCTTTATTCTGCAAACCATCAGACATGAAAGACAAGAATTTTCAAATGAGTATTAAAGATAAATGTGATAAGAAACAGAGAAGAATAGATGGTAAACAAACATGGTGTTATGTTTTGAAAGAAGAAATGAAAGGATTATATAAACAGGTTGAACCAAACGATAATGAGGATTCATTTACTGATGATGAAATACCTGTAAATGAAGCTTTATAAAGTATGATTGGAATTTATTTTTGCATTAATCCCACTATGTTGTCAAAATGTCATGTTGTCTCATTTTTTCAGAAAAGTTAAATTACCGAGTGACACATAGTGACATAGTGACACCTTCAGTTCTTCAAAAATGCTTCATAAGTGCCTTCCTCATTAATCCCACTATGTTGTCAAAATGTCATGTTGTCTCATTTTTTCAGAAAAGTTAAATTACCGAGTGACACATAGTGACATAGTGACACCTTCAGTTCTTCAAAAATAAAGTATTATTGAATAACCTAAAATCATTAATGAAAATATTAACAATAACATCAAATTTAATTTTTATATAAATGGATACCCCACAAGCTCAAAATTTACCACGAATCATAACAAGGGAGGAAATGATAAAAATGATGCAAGAACTAATTAAAAAACAACAAACCACGAAAACCGAGAAGATGAGGAATAAAAAATTAAATTTGGATTGAGTTTAAAAATTCATCTTTATTAAATTCATCTCTTCCAATCAATTTATTTATTCTATTAAATTCTTTTATTTTTGCTTCACCCAGTTTAAGGATTGAACGATAAGTTTCTAATTTTTCGATTATTTCTTGATCGTTTTCAACCCCACCACATTGCGGCTTCTTTTTATAATAACATATTTTTGATTTAATTTTGTTTAGTTTCTTTTTATATTCATCGTCCGGACTCTTGGCTGCTTCGTTGTCACTCATTTCTTACGAAAAAAAAAATTAAATATTATTTAAATATAATGGAGTAATAAAATAAATCGGAATTTCTATTAATTTATTGTCAACCTCTACTAATGCATTACCGTTAATATATCTAACAAATTCAGCTATTGTGTCAAATCTTCGTCTTCTTTTTGTCATTGATTTATCAGTTTTTCCATAATCGAGATGAATCAAAACTTTATCCCCTTGTTTAAAATTCATGAGCCCCGAATTAATTTGTTCACGTTTAACATCATTTAACCTTTCCGTTTGCTTTCTAATATATTCCCATTCTTTTGAAATATCATTTTTCATTTCCACTGGTTTCATGTTTATACTTCTATGCCATGTATTATTGTAATAATATACTAACTGCTGTATGATGGAGTCATGATTTCCATCCCAGTATATCTGACCGTTAACCCCTAACGCATCTCTAAGAGTTCTCATTACCGCATCAACTATTTTATTATGAAACGTATATGGAGAAGATGAAAAGTAAAAATTAATTTGTGGAAAATAATGAGCCATAGCTGCCTGAAATCCTTTATCACAATCACCCCTTATATTATCTACTCTTTCATGATCTAGTAAGTATTGAATAGCTCTTCGTGTTTCCTGTTCGTTTTCCCTTTCACTGGAATGCAATATAAATATCGAGTGTTTACGTTAATGGCAAATAAATAAGTAACGTTTCCTTTTGAATATTCTAAATGATCGATTTCGTATGAATATGGATATGGTGCAAATGAGGGGCGACTAAATTTTTCCTTTAACGGTTGAATTTTTGGGTCAGTTGGTTTATTTAATATTTTAAAATCCTTTTTAAAATCTTTTTGCTTCTTAAATGTTTGAAATGGATATAATAAAGTGAATGATGAAGGATTAACTGAAGGAGGAGGTTTTGGTGTTGCAAGTGGTTTAATTTTATCTGCTTTGATTTTGGATTTCATTCCTTTTTTCATTAATTCTGGATGTATTTTATTCATTTGTTTTAAATATACTGTATATAAACGTTTGATATACTTTCCCACTTCGAGTTTATGTTGAAGGATGAATTCCAAAAGTTGATCTTCATTTAAAAGTCGGGCTGAATATGGTTTAACTAATGAATCATAAATTAAAGCTTGTGCTTCATTTATGGTCTGAAGGGCCTGGGCGTTTTGCACTTTTAACTGTTGAACATTTGGCTTTTGCGGCTTGGGATTATATAATTTATATAATTCATCAATATCTTCTTCTGTTAATACTTTATTTTTGAAATCTTTCAATTGTTTAAGTTGCGGTTTAGTTTTTCCCTTTGCATATTCATTATTTTCAATTTTGTCTTTAATTTCAGAAATTATTTTATCATGATATTTCAAAATATCATTTTCATAATATGGATAATAATAATCCATATCATCACCCGTTATATAGTGTTATCATATTTTTGGAGATATGCTTTTAAATCATAATAAGTAAGAAAATTTTGATTAAATACTAAATCATCAATTAATCTTTTTAAATTTACATCATCCATTTATATAAAAATAAAATAAATGTTTTAAGGGTGCCCACCTCTTTGATCAACTTCATAACCATCATTAACGGTTCCTTTTTGTCTCATTTGTGAATCCCATTTTTTTAAAAATAAAATTTCAAATTGTATTAAATAAATGGCATACAACATCCATTTTCACAACATACAGCCTTAGTGTGTGCTCCTGTTAATGCAGTCTTACCGATTGTTAAGCGAGTCATTGACCTGTTTTTAAGTTGTAAATTAATATTCTGACCATCAAATATCACTTTATCATTTATTATATCCAAATAATTTTTAGGTGTTAATTGTTTATTTTGTCGTAAACTAACTCCTTTCATTTTTTGTGCAATCTTTTTAAAATCACTTCCATCAATTGAACCGTTGAATGATGTATAACACTTGGGGCATAAAGCAACCATGTTATCACCTTGTTTCTCAATTGCTAAACCCAATAACTTCTTCTCATGTGCTTTTTCTTCAACTTTATTCTTTAATTTAGGTTTAAATTTCTCATCAAAACAGAAGAAATCAAATGGTGCGAATTTGAAAATGTTTTTATCATAAAATTGTTTATCGGTAACAATTGCTTGAAATGCTTGAGTGTTAGGAAGACTTGGATCGCCAGCGATTGCCCAATAAGATGAATCAGTATCACCTTCAATGAAATGAAAACGATTAACATCCATGCATTTATACATAAAATCATAAATGAAAACTAAATACCAGTATTTAGCATTATCTAAAGTAAAGAATGCCTCTTGTAAACATGTTTCACATCTATAAAATCTATCTTTGAGCATCACTTGATATGTATCCTCACCTATTTCTCTTATGTTTTTAAACTTATTTGACATACATGCAATGCGTGCCTTCTGTGCATTCATTATTTTAGTCTTTGCGTAATTTTGTGTATTCATTGCATCGTAACCATATGATCCATTAAGTGAAATCTTGCAAAATAAACTTTTTCCTTTATTTCCTTCTAATTCAGCCTTTTGTCTTTCATTCATAAATTTGTTCGCAAATTCATTAAAACAAGTGTTTTTAGTAAATGTTAAAATTGATTGAATATCATCAATGATAAAATGAAATCTGTCGATTAGATACCAAAGATAATAAGAAGAAAATGGTTGATAATGGTTGTGTGTTGATGCTAACTGAGTTAATTTTCTCTGTTTCTGGTCAACTGGTAGATTGTTTGATTTCATGTAATTATACATAAAACTGCCAATTGTTTTTTCATCTGTGATAATATCTAAGTTTCTTATTATCGGTAAAAAGTTTATGTAATCATTAATGTATTTTTCATCAATGTGACCCTTTACTTCAGCCACGAATAAAGTATTTTTCTTTCTAATAATTCCCAATGCTTTTGCTTTCTTTGTTGCTGTATCACAAATGATAACACCATTCAATCTTCCCGGCATATACATTTTATGGTCAGTATATTGAATGAAATCATGAGGATTAGATGAAAATGATGAAGGATATAATGAATTAAAATCAACACCAACGAAATGAGTCATAATGTTGGAAGTGTCCTCATTTGATACAGTTTTAGTTTCTGGATTATATGAAAGTTTATTAATGTGCGTGATTCCTTTAAGATTTACTCTATGTTGAACATTTGATAGACCACCAGTAATTCCATTACGGAGAATGTGATAAGCTTCAACTGAATCTAAAGTCATTGGTAAATTATTTTTTAATGCATAATTTCTTAAATTGATTCTTAAACGTTGAACATCTTCATCTTTATTTGATTTTACGACATTGCAATAACAACACATTAACTGACAATTTTCTTTAGTATGTGGTTTTTCATTATCGATTCTATCCAATGTTGGTTTATTAGCATATGTAAACGCTTTACCACACATTTTGCATTTAGATGAAAGGATTAAATCGTGATAGTATTGAAAATCATCCATTGAAACATTATTTTTAGTATCTCTTTTTGCTTTTTCATCTTGTTTCTTATATGATTCAATTTTATATTTCCAATACTTTTTCGTTAATTCAAAACTTGATTCTATCTTTTCCTCAGGATATTTTTCATTAAGATTAAAGTCTTTATATGCTAAAGCGTAACGAATCATTGAAGCATTTGATGATAAAGAAAGATTATGAAGCATATCAATTTTATAAACAAATGTTTCTTCAATAATTTTATCAATTGGGTCAATCATAATTTCAACATCTTTATTGCAATAATGAATAAAATATTCTAATCTATTCTTAAAATTTTTAGCATCATTGAGATATATTTGATAATCACTATCTGATATAGTTTCTTGAGTTAATGCTGAATAAAATGAATCTTGAGTGAATGGTTCCACTTTATATAATTCTTCTTCGTAATTCTCCCATGTGATGAATTGATAAGGGAAAAAGGATTTAACACGTGATTTATTGTTTCCGAAATCTTGAGTGAATTGATCCAATGTTCCACCCGCTATATAATTTCTGATGTCAATAAATCTCAATTCATATGGAACGTTTGTTTTCTTTACAATGATTTGCTTAAATTGTGAAGATGAACCCAGCATTGATTTTATTTTCCATTTTGCAGTGTTTAAATCACGAAGAATTAAATTTAAATCAAACTTTCCCGAATTAAAACCTATGATATTCACTTTATTAAATTCCTCATCTAGAAGTTCTTTAAATGCTTCCTTCTGTTTTTCATTTAATGTAAGGGACAACAATAATTCATTGTATTGACTCATATTTGATTCAACAACTAATGAACAGGTTGAAAATAAAAACTCAATCCAATCAGAAATAAAAGAATCACTTGAAGTTAAGCAAAAATTCCTCGTATATGTTTTATCATTTAATTTAACCGTTGATGATACCATGAATGGTTTTAAGTAAGCATTCAAAGTTGCACACTCAGAAAGTTGTAATTCTTCTTTAGTCTCTAATGTTTCAAAGTCAAAAGTAATATAATATCTTGTCGGTTATAATATTCCTGCAAATTGTGAGCTAATAACCACTGATATATCTTCTGTTTCATAATATGTGGTGCATATGGTTGCTGGGTTTTTTGCAATTGAACGTCTTGAATTAATCTTCCATTATTTTCTTTACATTTCTCACAATGCTTTAAAAATCTTCTTTGGTTTTTCCTTTCTGGATCATCGCGGATAGAATAAACTTTTTCTTTACAATATGGACAAACTTTATAGCCGGTGAGTGCTTCAACGTCTGTTATTCTGTCAGCGTGAAGTTTTCCACATGGACTCTGTGTTAATAAAATATTTAATGTTTCAAATTCTGGATCTATCATTATTGATTCCACTAATGGAAAGTCTACCTTATTTATGTCCACGTCTTCTGGTTGAGGATCACAATAATAGAAATCAATATTAACATTTAACATTCTCGCTAATCTCTCACTTTCTGATGAAATGTCAAACCCTTCATATGCATCTATTGCTTCATTTAAATAGCTTCTACGAGTTTTAGGATTAGCACCATCAGGAATGTTATAGAAGCGTTTAAATAACCTTCTTCCTTCTGCTCTAATTTGATTATCATTCATTTTAGCTGTTCCGTTTTTGTTCATTTATGTAATAAAAATTAAATAAAAATAAAGTTTATTTATTAAAGTCCGTAAAATGAATTAAGAATACATAAATTTTTATCATCTGCGACGTGACGAATACATTTTAATTTACTCAAGAATGCATACCCTGATACATTAAATCTAATTCCTGTCTTATTTAATTTCACAACTTTGAAAAGGAATGTATGAATAGCTATAAAATGATGAGAAGATGTTTTATGGGTTGCTTCCATTTTTTCTGAAATAAATGAATAAATATAATGTTTATAAGTTTTCATATCTTTTATGTTCTTAATAACGAATGGTATAGACCTTTCAACTTCATCTTCCTTAGGTGCTGTTCTTTCATATGAAACATTATTGGTATCTTCAACAATGAAACCACAATCACACAAAATTTTATAGGTTCCAATGGTTTCTTTTGATATTTTATCTAATAAATCAAAAACTTTATCAACACCTGTGCATTTATTTAAATAATAATTTGTGTAAATATCATGATCTTCTTTTTTAATCGTATTAGTTGCATATGTCACGTTTTTAAGAGCTTTTTTGAATTTTTCGGAATCTAAAGGTGGTGAAAGTAATATACAAGGGTATTCTTCATTATCAATAAATTGTAACTTATGTTTATGAATAAATTTAGTTCCTTCTTCTGAAAGTGTTTCATCTATTTCACCATCTAATAAATTTTGTGTTGATTCTAAGACATAATTTTTATATCTTTCTTCATGAGATTTCTGAACTTCTGATTCTGAAGCTGGGATATTCATTAAACCCTCTACTTCATTTTCAACTTCTCTTAATTCCTTAATTTTTTCATCTATTTCATCTCTTATTTTTTCCAGTCTTTCAATTTCATCATATTCATCATCTTTAATCCGTTCTTCATAATATTCAGGGAAAACATCAGGTTCTTTAGGTTTTTTTTTTTAGATGTGGGATATAAGAAATTTATAACATCATCTTTATTCATTTTTCCATCATAATCAAACTCATTTAAAAACTCCGCAAATTTTTGACAATTTCTTAAATAATATTTATCAACTTCATAACCCGCCTCCTTTAATATATCCTTTATTTCCTCATTTGTGAATCCCAATTTTTTAACGCTGTTAGTTGTGACACTCATTTCATACGAATTAAAAATAAATTATTAAAAATGTAAGACATGAATCAAATAATTGATTTCATAAATTCAAATAATCATTAGTTTCAATTTCTTTTTCTCATTTATGAGGTCTTTGATTATGACTCCATTGATTCCATTCATGATTTAAACACTTGTTTTAATTAATCGCGGAATATCTGACATCATCTATATATAGCTTCTTTTATAAAAGATGAAATAAATTATTTTTAAAATTAATGTTAATTATTTTTAATATGTTTATTACATCATGTATGGGTTGAGTGTAAATGTCTTACATTTTTAAATCTTGATTTATTCTAAAACGTAAGAATAAAAACCGTAAGAATCATACATTTTTTACTTCATATGTCAAAAATAATGATACAAAATCGTTCAATATCGTATGAATTCTTACATTTACAAAAAAAGTCACACAACCCGTCATATCCACTACTGTAATCGATTTTTAAGAATTTGATTCATTCTTATATCAACCATCACACACCTTATATACAAATCATTTTAGACATGAGATATTTCATTTTCCGATGTTTTGAGGATGGTCGGATTTCAAAAATGTTGACAAATAGTTATTCCATCCTTAAATACTTCTAAAATTTTATATGTGTAGAATTTCTTATCCTTATGCTTGATTGTTATTTGTTAAACAGAAATATGAATCAATAATTTTGGAGATTTAAGTATTTGAGGAGAATCAAATATAATCCGATGCTTGTTGATTATATTAATATAAAAATAAGAATGTAATTTTGAATATCCGATAAATAATTTTTTATTTTCTTACTTTCTTGAGCGCAGCAATAAGCCTGTCTAAATCAGGATTTGTCTTTGGTGGGAAGTTCATCAATAATTTCAATATTGCCTGTGAGAAATTAGGATTAATCTCAGCTGCTTTCGATAAAAATTCTGCGGAAACTTGTTTGCAAATTGCTGGACAATTTGATGGGAATACATAATTCAAAGCTTTAAACAATACAGAGAAAGTACTAAATACTTCACCTTGTATCATCTTATAGAAAGCCAAGCAAACATTAGAAACTTCTTTGCAAACATTTTCATCGCAAAAAGCCAAATAAAGATATTCATGTAAATTATTAAAAACTTTCGTCCATCTTTCCGCATCATCTTGTCTAATATCAGTCATTAAAGCGGACAACAAGAAGATCTCTTTGTCAATTCTATCAGGTTGAGATTGATTAATCTGGTTCGCCATAGATTCAGCAATATCAACTGTAGAAATTGATTGTATCAAAGGATCAACATTATATGTTTGTCCAAAACTTTCTATACTATAAGGAGTACTTAATAATTCCATTGGATCAGGAAGTAACAATAATAAAGATGCCATTTGTTCTGTTGTCAAAGATTTATCCTTTGCAATTGTTGACAAAACTAAAGCAGCAACAGATCTATTTGCACCTGTAATGATCTCTTTGATTTGTGGTAAAGCTTCTTCAGTTGCTTTAGTGTATAATCCAACGAGTTGTACATCTTTATCTTGATCTCCCGTTGGAGGGAACAAAGGAATCAAAGGAATACCTGCTTGTCTATCAAAATTAATGAGTTTAGTAAGAGCTTGTGGTAATAAGCATTGTGGATCGTTCTTTGAATACCCTTCGATCTTCTGGGCATAGAATTCTGCAAGAGGTTTAGATAATTCAGTTTCTCTTGTCAAAAATGCACTTAAAATTGTGGCTCTTGAATCTTCCGGTGCATGTTCAAGAACATGGTAAAGCAAAATGTGATGAGTGAATGGATCTTGGCTTGGAACTGAGAAAATGAAATCGGCAAGGTCTCCAATTGGAAGAGCTTCCGGTGTTAAAGTTGGAATGAAAAGATCAATGAGATAATCAATTAGGCAAGAACCGTATTCTGGTGGCGTCTTTGGAGCAGCAACTGTTAAGAAGTGAACGATTAAGTCTGGTGGATAATGTTCCAGGAATTGAGCAAGTTGAATCGGATCTGAAAGAGAAGTAATGAATGTTTGGAGAGATTCTGGTGTGATCTCTTTTGTGAGCTCATCAATAGCATTATCAAGTACTTTGGGATCTGAATCTTCAGTTGCTGGAGTATTTGAATTGCGCAACTCCAAAAATCCAGGTCCAGACTTGATAACAGATGCCGATTCGAATGAGATAGGTGTTAAGTCCGATGCAGCACCAGTTCTTTGTACTGATGTTGAGCCAATGAATCTTTGGCGATTTGGTGCTGGTGGAGGTATCTCTGGTTGTGGTTCTGGTGTTTTTGGAATCGTAGGTGGTGCAATTGTTGTAACTTGCGCTTGTTTTCCTTTCTCTTTAGAATCATTCGATGAGAAATTGCCAAGATTTGGATGACTAGGTGTAAGTTTAGTGAAATGTGTATATAATATTTCAATAAGAGTAACAGCCGAACCTTGTTTCCTTTTAATTACTTCATCAATTAAATATTGTTGAATTGGTATTTTATTTTTCTGAAATACAGCAGCTAATTGATTCCAATTGTCTTGGCGCATTTTAGTACTAACGAAGTTTGAATAAGAATGCATTGATACTGTTGGAATATATTTTGCAACGATTTCTGCTACTAAAAATCCACTTGCGAAATCAACTCTTGGATTACTATATGATTGTGAAAGATCTATTGTCTGTAGCCATCTTAATACACTTCTACTAAACGACATCAGAATTCTAACGTATTTATTTTTTTCTCCAAATTTTATTGTTTCTCCAAATCATCTTTAATTTTAAACTTCATTTTATAATGGATTAGTTGTGTGTGCAAAATCTTTTATCATTTTCATACATGATGCACTCCATTATCGATATTATTATATCTCTTTAATAAGATTCAGCTAAAAGAGCATTCATATTTCTGAATTTCTGCATTAAAATCTTACAATTAGATGTTTTTGTTGTCATATTTGGATTTAAGAGTTTATCTAAAAGCAGGCTATATTATGATCTTTTTGAAAATTACGAGTTTCTCACAATTTGACTTTGGATTTCACATAACGAGATTTATCGATTGCTGTAAGGGTTTCGTTTTGCGAAAAAAACGTACAATACGCAATTTCGCTAAAAAACATTTAGCTAGCAATTTCGACCTTTGACTCCACTCAAGACGTCACTTTTTTAATTTTGCGGTATCATATTTTTGGAAAATCTTTATGAATATAAAAAAAAAAAAAAAAAAAAAGGGAGTGGGGCCTCCAGGCACTTCGTGCCCTCTAGCCCCGAAGATGTTTAGTATACAATGAAGTATAAAATGAGGTTTTTTTTTGGGTGAAGGGGGCTTCCCAGGCACTTCGTGCCTTCTAGCCCTAAAAATTTTTGAAAGTCGTTGTCGTTGACTTTTCGGTAGAGGACTCAAAATAGTATAACTATGTCCGGACAAGTAAGGGTCTATCGTCGCTACAGAAAAGTTACGGGCGTTCAAAGAAGTATACTTTGAGAAGCCTTTTCTGTCACTTTTTCAGGTAAAAACATTTTTATTATATATATAAAATGAATTTTACAAAACCACCGTTACCCTTCTTTGGAAATAAGAGTAGATGTAAAGATATTCTATTGAGAGAACTTAAGAAACTACCGAATGGTCTAACATTTGTAGATTTGTTCGGTGGAAGTTTCTATATATCCCATTTGTGCCATACCGTATTCCCAGACTCAAAGATTATATGCAATGACTTCGACAACTATATGAACCGTCTCAAACATATACCAGACACAAACAAAATATTGAGTGAGTTAAAAGAAAAGATACCTATAGGTAAGATGGAACGTATACCATTAGATAAGAAAAATATTGTCAGAGAGGTTTTGAAAAAAGTAGAATATATAGACTGGGATAGTATATCTGCTAGACTATTATATAGTGGTTCTATAAGAGTTCATGACATTGAAACACTTATGTCAAACGTTTTATATCTTAACTATACAAAGGTTTTCAAAGAGGACATAGAAAAATATATTGAGGGTATAGAGTTTGTGAGATGTCATTGGACAGAGTTGTATGAAAAATTTAAAGACAAGGAAAATGTTTTCTTTATAGTGGACCCGCCGTTCTATAACACATGCGATTTTCAATACCAAGTAGACTGGACTTTGAGAGACTCTTTAGAAACTTTAGACGTTTTACATAACCATCCATGCTTTTACTTTACATCCGATAAAAGTGGTTTGGAAACCGTTATGAGATGGTTAGAAGACATACATGACTATGAGTTTAGATATGACAAGATAGAATATGAGAGAGGTCCTATAAACCGGAGAAAGTGTCATAACAAAGAAATTTTATTGGTAACTAAATGTGGTTTGAAATAGGACTACTTGTTTTAGGTTTTTTCCATTGTGTCATCTATTTCTTTGACGTGGCAGAAAAGTACAGAGAATATGAAGATGAACCGATGCCTGCAAATGTTCAGTATATGTACTCGTAAGAGATATTTTTATCTAATATTAAATGGACGCACAGAACTTAGCGAATGCACAGCAACCCGGACAACCAAACCCAGAGAATATTCCAAATGAAGTTAGAATACAAACTGCAATGGCAAACTATGGTCAAGTGCCAACAGATGTACAAATGCAAACTGCCATGTCAAATGACGCTGCGTTAGGTTTGCCACCATGGTATGCAAATATGAGATGGAAAGAGTTTTATACAAACCCTGAAGTGGGATATAAACAACTCTATGCAGATGACGCGAACACAGGAGTTGACCCAGAGTATGTTTTCTACCAGAGGAGAAATAGAATGTATGAGCTCCAGTTAAAGAATGCTATGGAACTCAACAGGAAACGTAAGAGACTAGGTGGACATTAGATTTTTACATATAGTAAAATGGGTTTCTTCAGTAGTATTGGAAACTTCTTTCGAAATGTTGGAAGAGGTATATGGAATGGAATAAAATCTGTCGGAAGAGGAGTATGGAACGGAGTCAAAAATATTGGTAAAAGAGTAGGTCAGTTCGTTGGTATTATACCTAAAGACCCTGAACCAGAAGAACAAGCTCCTGTTATACAACAGCCTGAACCTGCACCACAGTCTAGTTGGCAACCAAATCCAACACCTCAACCGTATTAAAAAATTATATTTTTACCGTTCGATAGTAGTTGTATATGAAACTAAGTTCTAAGTAAAACGCATGGTATAATGGAACTATTCTCTTTCTTCCATCTGTAGTAAACCATACTTGAAAATCTGAAATACTTCCACTCGGTGGTTCATATAGCTTTGTAGGTTTTTCGTAAAAGTCATTTGCCAAGCATAAAAAAGAGTTTTGTGCACCAGAAAATGAAGCATGAACTATAATAGCATCTGAGTCGAAAACATTTTCATATGTTCCATTAGGGTTTTCGACTTCATAAAAGTCCGGGTGTACTGGATATTCTGCAGGCTGATTTAACATCCTCAAAAATCTATACCATGCCAAGTTGTTATATTTTGTAGAAATATAAACGTTTTCTCCAAGGTCTTCTATTCTATCGATTTTAACAGTTGCATTTTTCCTGTCATATATAATATCGAGATGGTACTCTCCTTCGTCAATGTTATACTGCTTTGCATATTCGAGATAGATATCGTTTATTTTTTCTTGAAAAGCTTGAAGAGTTGTTTCTAAGTTTACAAGCAAACTAACTTGTAAAAGTTTTCCCTGTTCAAATTTCTCATACGTACGTTTTTCTTTGTTATAGTATCGAACTACAAAACCGACCGTAAATGGGAAACCATGTATGGCTTCTGAAATGAACTTCATTCTACGAAAGCCAATAGCTTTTGTGACGGATGGGTCTCTTAGCCATCTTAACGGGTAGTCAAAACGATAGCCTTCATGCTTTACGGTCTCTGTCTCAAACTTTTGACCGACATTCGTAAAAAGTTCATCTAATGGTTTAGTTGTAGCAACTCTAGAAGTTTCCTTTTCTATTGGAAGCATATTTTATCTAGAATAAAAATGTCAAATGAAACAGCGTCTATGAGAGAAATACAACACAACCGACAACTCATTATACAAGCTCTAAATAAGAACACAACAAACTTTTCAAACTATTCTAAGATATCTGAGTCATTGAAAGAAGGAAGCTTAAAACTGACATTAAACCCAATGACAGATGAGTTTCTGTTTCAAGACAACAAGAACCATACTGTTTGTATAAATCCAACAAAAGGAACCTTAAACGAGAAACCTATAAAAGAACTTCTTTTGAAAGCAGATGTTGACAACAAAGCTGACAAAGAGTATGTCATTGAAAAAGTTCAAGAAGAACATGACAGAGCAGATGCAACATATGCAACGAAAGAGGATGTTGAAATGAAAGCAGATAAAACATATGTTGACGATGAGTTAGCATGTGTGGCTAGTGCGTTAGTGAAGAAGGCAGATAAGGAATATGTGGATGAAAAAGACAATGAAATTAAAGAAAGGGTTGAATGGTATAATGAACGGACAACAAAGATTTTAAAAACTAAAGCTGATACAGGATGGGTTTCAGGATGTTTAGACCTTAAAGCCGACAAGAACCATACACATACCATTGCAAATATTACAAACTTACAAGAAACATTAGAGACAAAAGCAAATAAGACTCATACACATTCTATATCTGATATTACAAACTTACAAGAAACCTTAAACACTAAAGCAAATAAGACTCATACACATACAAGTTTTACAACTTTTACAGCAGATGATATTACACTAAACACAACCTTGCCAAGTAAAGGTCCAACAATACCACCGGCAACAAGTCTTGTAGATACTTTGATATCTAATGACAATAGTATTATACATCTAAGACAGGAACTCAATGTGCTTAAACAAATTTTGCCGAATCTTATTTACCCGGTTGGTTCTATTTATACGTCAATGAACTCTACCAGACCAGAAGTAGTACTTGGTTTTGGAACTTGGACTCAAATAGTCGACAGGTTTTTGTATTGTGCAAACTCTTCAAAGGAAACAGGTGGAAGTAAAACGATTTCGGGTGCAAATTTACCTGCACACAGTCACTACGTAAGTTTAACTACATCTCGAGAAGGTGGGCATAAGCATAGATATTGGGATTGGACAGGAATGACAAAAGGTAAAGGATATGATGTTAAAGACAACGTTCAGTTTGCTATAAATTGTTACTTGGATAACACTGAGGTAGGAGGAGACCATACACATTTCGTTTCAGGGTATACGCAAACAACGGGACAAAGTAAAGACTACATGCCACCTTACATGACAGTTTACGCATGGTATAGAAATGCTTAGTCGTCATTTTCAACTTCTTTAGCATATTCGTCAGGAGTTGTCTTATATTTGTTAGGAACTGTCTTTGAAAGTATACCACCTTGAACTTTGACAAGTTTGAAACGAGGTCTGACAATAGTAGTTTTATCTTCTGCTTGCAGTCTGTACATTTTGCCATGTTTGCCTAAAACTTCATAATATTCTCTTGTATACTTTCTTCTATTTTTACGAACACGAATGTGAGTACCTGTCGGGTTCCCATTGTTGTCATAGTCAATAGTATTTTCATATGGGTCGCGTTTAGGTATTTCTATTTTTACTTTGTCACCTTTCTGAAGTTTGAAGCCCGGCATTCTTTCTTGTTTGTCTCTTTTGACTAAATTATTAAATATATAGTCTTTCTCTAAGTCAGGGTTGTTTTTCATTTCTTCGGGGAGTGGTTTCCCAAACCTTTTTGTTTACGGCTATTGTAAATATTTAAAACTTGTCTCATCTTTGCCATGGAGAAATGTCTGTACTTGTCGTCATATGACATTTCATTTGCTTCACCACCTTGTGGTTGGTTTAAGTCTCTTAACATTTTTATACAACCGTCAATGACACCAAGAGCAGAATGGTTTTGGTCGACAATGAAATATTGGTTTACATTTTTTGAACGCAGATAGTTTTTAATATCGTCTGATTTGAAAGAACTTTCACAGTCAGATGTCAGTTTTGTTGGATGGTATTTGTCAACGAATATTGTCAAAGCAGTTTTCACATCTAAAATATTTTTGGACCATAATGGTATGGCTTCACAGTATCTTGTGTTTTGACCGACAAATATTAGCCAGTATGGTGGTCCATCTGTTCTAACTCTCGGAATGTTTTCCAAGATATCCATAAACCAAGCATTTGGTGTTGAACTAAAGATTTTTACCATGAGTGCTTTCTTTGTCGCTTTAGAAACATAGGGGTCCTTGTTTGAATTCGTCATTTTTAACCCATAAGAAATGGGTTTATTTGGCGCGTTAGCAGGAGTTGCATCCAGATTTTTGCCCGCAGTGGGAACAATAGCCAGAGGTGTATTTGGAGTTGGAAGGAAGATTTTGAGTACATTAGGTATACTTAAAGAGAAAGCACAACCTATTATACAAACTGTACAGAAAGGTTGGGATGTAGCACGAGATGCAGCAAATCTTATTCCAAATCCTGAAACAAGAGGAAAAGTTCAAGGATGGATGGACAATGTAGGAAGACAAGCAGGAAACTACTATAACAAAGCAAATGACTACTATAACCAAGCAGGACACTATATGGACCAAGGTGAAAGATTCTTTAACAGAGGATATAACCATGCACAACAGTGGGTAAACAATAACCAACCTCAACCACCCCAAACGTGGGGAATGTAAAATTTTTTACTGAGATGAAATGAACAATACAGCATTGAGACAAATGGGTTCAAGATGGATTTGTCGACTTCCAGCAGTTACACAACGTGTTTGTCAAGTTCTTCCTATACCTCAGGAAGTTTTAGACCGACTTAAAAAACAACAACAACCAGTTGAAAACAAACCAAACTAAAATTTTTTACTGAGATGAAATGACCGAAGAAGTTGAAACGGTAGATTTGACACCACAAACAAAAAGTTCAGAACCATTGTCAAAACCTGTCAAAGAACTTACAGATGAAGAGAAAAATTCAATAATAGAAAGTGCCAGGTCTGGAAATACAAACCCTAACTACAAAGTCACTTTTCATAAAAATGGAACGGCAAGTATCTCAAAAAAGAAACAGACTCTCACAAATAAAATATTGAAGTCTGTGGGAGCTTTCGAGACAACAGATGGGAAAGTATACTTCACTGACCAACAGTTCATTATAGAACATCTCATTGACTTAGAGTCGAAATATTCTAAACTTTACAACAAACACAAAAAGTTGAAAGGAAAACAAAAACAAATGGCATATGATATTTATGAAGATGTTGACGACACAACTGTTCCTGCAAGTGAGGTAAAGTCAGCAGAACCGAAAAGTGACGAAAAACCAATAGAAGAAGAGAAACCAAAAACTGAAGATAAACCAAAACCAAAGTTTAGTTTGGAAACTAAACCAAGTCAACCTTCATTAGCTGGTATGGGTTGGCGTCAAAGACTTATGGTAGTGGGTGGTTATGTTAAGTAAAGAGAAAAAATATTTTTTTATTTTATTTGAAATGTACGCTGAGTTTGTTGGAGAAGACCGTTGGGAAACTTGTTTGTTAGATGAGAAATATGAAATTCACTGTTGTGAGTCATTTGAAGTCAGAAAAAAGGAGACAAAAAGAGTTTTAAGCGAATGGGAGCGAAATGACGGATATACTACTATGAAGATGAGTGGAAAAAACTATCCTAAACATGTTGTCATTGCAACTCATTTTATACCGAACCCTAACAATTTACCTTTTGTAGACCATATAAACCATATAAGAAACGACAATAGACTTGAAAACTTGCGTTGGGTCACTCGTTCTGAAAACAATAAGAACAAAAGCAAAATTGGAGATCTTGTATTCGAATTTGTCGACGAACTAGAAGATGAAACAATTGAAATTACAGACTATGGTAAGCATACGTTTGAGTTTTACTACTATAGCGAAGAACAAGACTCTTTCTACTTTTATACCGGCGTAAACTATAGGAAATTACAAGTATATTTTACTAAGGCAGGCTATGCTTATGTAAACGCTAGAGATACAGATGGAAAATGCGTTCATATACGTCTTAACAAATTCAAGAAGCTATATGGCATACCATTTTAAAACAGTATATTTTTTTATTTTTATAAAAATGCCCCCATATAGAATGGACAGAAAGTCTGCTAGAATAAAAGCAGAGTTAGAAAGATATGGCTGGAGAGTTTCGAAGAATTTTAAATATAGGAAGGGAAGACCCATAAAAGTCTATGACAAACTGGCTGGTCTTCGCTATGAAATGGACTTAGAAACAGCACGCGCCAATTATCCAAACAGACTAGAGAGGTTAGAAGAAGAGCGTCTTATGGACATGCCTTTCGATGTTACTGAACCTCAAGTTGAAGGACACGACGGCTTTGCCAGATTCTATTGGAAACATGACGAACAATTGCATCCTTTGAGAAGGAAAAAAGGAAAAGGTGAAGACGCACATGCTCCCATGGAAAGAACAAGATATGCATATGAGAAGTACCGTGAAGTTAGAAGTAAAATTATATCTGGTCGAACCTTTACAGTAAACTTTGACAAAGGAAAGAACAAAGAAGGCTTCATGGGAGTACTTGCTGCAATTCAAGACGGAAATAAGAAAGGACACAATCTCAGACTAACCGTAACAGATTTAGATGGTCGCATTTACTATGCACATGGCAATGTCACAACAGCCGCACAACTTCTTGACGCTTTCAAGACTACAAAGAGAGAACAAATGTTTGACTCCGACTCAGATATTTTGAATGCAATTGAAGGAATTGCAAGCGTGAAGTTCGAATGGTACCAACCTAACCCTCAAGCAGTCAGACAACATGCTGGATACTTCCCGTTCATAAACAAGTCTGACATTGACTTGACAAGGTATGGAATTTACAATTCAATTGAAACAATTGTCAACGAACCTTGCATTCTTACATGTCTCAGGAACTCTGGTCTTGTTACAGATGAGAAGATGAAGTATCTTGAGTCATGTGTGAAGACAAGGTA